TTCAAGACATTTGCCTTTAATCTTCCAGAAATGGTAAAAGTGATATGGAGAATACATGAATCAAAGAACATAATTATTGATTGCAGGGCCAAAGTTGACCTTATATCCTTATACTGTACAAAAATTTGAATAATTAAACTTAAATAGTAAATAGTCATTGACCTAAAAATGATATTTTAATTGAAATCAGAGTATGTAACATTTAAACTGTCATGTAGGCCTTAACTGAAAAGCTGAGAGTACAGCCAAACCTTAATTAAATGATATCTCTAACTTGATGGGATAAATTAAAGGTATAAATACTTCTAGATATTAGAGTATTCGAGATATCAGGGGTAAAGTACTTAAAGAACAAAAGTACTTTAAGTACTTAAAGTACATTAAAGAATACATGTACATGCTAAGGTACTTTCATTCTTACACTAAAAACACACAATACATGTAACCATGCAATCTACCTGCAAATTGGGTTTTTTTTCCTCAAAATTACGAAGTACGAAAAATACTGCATAAAATACCCTTTTTTTCAGACATGAATTAAACTTTTATACAAACTTCTATCTGAACCAAAATATACAAAGATAATTATGAAAATCAAGTCAAACAAAATTTTAATCCTTAATTGTTTAAATGACATATCATCAATACCAATTTCAAAAAAACTTCTAAATCAATAGAAGTCAATAAAAGACCCCATTACCCACCATGTTCTTTTACTTTAATTTTTAATTAACTTTCAAACTCATTAATCAATGCCTATCGTAATACACTGATCAAGTTTTAAGGTCGAAGTGCCTTGCTGTATTCCAATCTATAATTATATAACAGTAAATAATCCGCTAATCAAACAAAACAAGCCTAACGATTACACATACTGCTCTACCTTTGGGAATAGCTTTGAATTTCCAGTCAACTGTTTAATCAAATTTCACTAGAATTTATCAATATATATGTGTATACATGTTTGTGTGTTTTTTATCGGTGGTCTATTGTAACCTAAACCCCTGTGCAGAATAAAAAAAAATCAATGATAACATAAAGGCAGATAGGCCTTACAATGGTGTGATAACATCTCCTGATAATTAACAAATTGCTATTGATCTCTTGTTTATTCCAAGAAAACAATGCTATCATCAAGCATGCAGATACCAAAAAAATGTCCCTTTTCCCCGTTTCCTGCCAAAATGGAGAACAAATCTGGAAGCGTCACAGATTACATGTCAAATGACACTACTAAGGATGCCAAATTACATGCACTGGACCTGCTTCATGCATTCAATTAAAAAAATTTTTAAGTCTTTTTACACTGATTTCTTTTTCCAATAAAGTTAATTCTTTCAGTATTAACTACAGGCTTTGGAGTAAAATTTGATGATCAGTCCAAGATTCCACCAGAATGATTTAGCTTCACTTCTTGTACTAGTGAGAGAAATTCTGCCATACCTTCACACCTGCAATGGTCCCAGACACTTATCCATAAAAAACCTCTTATCTCGCGCTAAAAAAATCACTAAAATTGTACATTACCATGTACCATGACCAATGAAAAAGGTCATTAACTGTAACCATTAGACTAATTATGTAAAAATAGTCCAATATAGCTCTGGGACAAAGAATAAATCAAGAACTATTTTCAGAGGATTCAGGAAAAAGCATAAATTTGTCATAATTGTTGTTAATTCTAAAGTTAATAATTCTAAAACCTTTCAAATATTTGTAATTTCAAAAACTTTTCAACATTTCTTTTCCTCTTTTTTCTTTTCGTTCCCCCCCCCCCCCATCCAATACATTTGTATTTTAGCACCATCTCTTGACAATTCCTTCTGCTACTGTAAATGACATAGCAACTTCCATAAGAGACTTTCCAGGTGGACATAATATAATATCTTCAAATTATACAACCAAAAGAAGCCATTATTTATGTGTAGGCCTATTCACCTATAATGATGAATTGTTGCCAGTTTTCATGATCGCACCAGTGCTGTCACCGATACATCAAACAGTACACCAATCTAGTAAAAATTGAGAGGGTGTGATTATTTTCACATTTCTAAAATAAAATGCGCAGAAAATTAAAGAAGTTTCTTCCTAGGGAACTTATTGCCATAAATATCTCGGTAAATTTAAACTCCCCTTCATAAATGCCTGTCATTTTAATGCAATTGCCCTTAGAATTTTGCAGTTGTGCAAATATGGTATTTAATAATTTCACCTAAACTGCAAAATCCTTCATTTATTGCTAAATGTATAATGCGTGTATGCAATAACCACAAGGGCAGTTTCATAGAAAAAGCAGTGGGTGTACCCTATATAATGTACCACAATAAGGTTACATCTTTGTCATGAAATGTCAGCAAAGCGCAATGGGGAGCAAAAGAACCTAGAGAAAATCAATTACAACTTTTTGATATTTCTGACCTAAGATTAACCCTCCCAGGGGGAATTCACAGTATATAGGCCCACTGCCTTAACTGAGATTGTGGGAGCTTAATTCATGCTCTCTTTGCATTTGGATTAAATGAGCAAATAAAGAATCAAATACACTAATCTTATATCAACATATTAATTTTTTATTCTCTACTTTATTCAAGAAAATCTTATTATTCCATAGATGTCAAAATACAGTTTAACTGCTATTAAGAATTACAGTCAAACCTGTATTAAGCAGTCACCTATGGGATAGACAGGATATCAGATTGCATGGTGTAAAAAAAATGGAAAATAGTAAACATGGTAAAATGAGAACGAAATTTTATGTCAGAATTCACAGTGTGATATATTGCACAGTTGTTGGATTAGACAATTTTCACTGTAATAAGAAAAATCCCCAATTTTTTTTTTAAAATATATGCCTTAATAAGTTCATACATTTTTCATATTTTTCATCCAAAGCCCCCTACTTGATATCAATCAATAACCCTCCCAGAAAAAATGATACATGAGCCAACAAAAAAGGTAATGTACCTTGAAAACCTCGATCAATACATGTAGCATTCAACCTCATATTCTTAAAAGAATATCCTAGCTACCCGAAAGATAAAAAAAATATCTAAATGGAAAGTTAATCCTATTCAACCCTATTATAAGAAACATGGGGCCATATAAAATCCATCATTTAAAGCTCTGTTAGTCTACAACTGTCAATAAAAACTTGATCAATATGCTTAAATCTTGGAGATATTAAAGGTTTTCTGATCATAAATTACAGTGCATAACGAATTTCAGCACCCCTTTATCTCTCAAGAGAGGATTCAGAAAATTAACTCTTTATATATAGGCCATACCAAGTATACATTTAATTCCCACCCCATCAAAAAAAGTTACATATACTTGACATTGTACTATGTATACTTGTGTATACTAACTGCTTCTTATTAATCATACTAACGAGACAGTGTCTATAAAATAATGCAATCTCATTATAAGTTTTTAGAAAAAATTGAGTGTTGAATTCGTGAGCATAATTTTAAAAAACCAAAATGAAAATAAATTTTAACAAGGTCTTATACTTTCTAATTGCATGTACTTATTTGTTTATATGCCTTATCTGTAGTGTTACTTAATATAGATGTACAGCGCACTCAGCTGCAGGCCAACAGTAACAATGTATTGTGAACATCACACTTCTAATGATATCGTTAATTTAGCAATTTAGTGATTTTCACAATAATATAAAGTGTACCACAAACTTATTGTGAAGGTCCTAGGGAACAAATGACTCCACATGGAATATAAATAAAATGGTCAACACTATGATTACATGTGAGCTCTTACAGAAATACGACAAAGAAGAAGTTGGAAAAACACATATATGACATTCATTGTCCCTGTGGTACTTTATTTCAAGATTGTTTAACTGCATGTGTGGTTTAATGTATTTACCATTGATATTTCTTTTTCTGAAAGTGAAATTACTGCAAGAGCTTATACTGCAACATAATAAAAGAGTTAAATTAGAACTCGCATGTAACCTGAATTACTGCTTGTCTGATGTTATCAATGATTACATATCCCCTCGTCAGTTCAGGACTTATATTAGTTATAAGCTCACATCCTGCATGATATTGCCGTCATTAATGATTAACCCTTTAAAAATATCAACAGTTCCTGGCTGCTTGTTTTTTTATTTTGGAATTTTAATCACATACTTGTTATAATTAGATATTCATGAAATTCTTGTCTTCTTCATGTGCCCTTAAATTACCAGGTATCTTCAGACTTTAATTCATTGTGTCTGTACCGTACCATTTATTCATATTTTATTAACTATGTACAATGAATTATATAAACTTTAATCATATTCTCTTTTTTTAGCATAATTATACTAAAGTTTCTGACATAGATAGATGTTTTTAGAATACTGACTTTTCCTTTGAAAGGACAGAGAAGTGGGATGGGGGTTTTATATACCGGTATTTATGTTATAAATGTACCCCCATGTACATAGGCAATTTAGCCACATATGATCCACATATGCATTGCCTTTCATATGAAGATCATATGTGGATCATATGAGAATCATATGTATATATAATCATATGAGAATCATATGTGGCCAATCATATGAGAATCATATGATCAAACATATGTTAATCATATGAAGTTATACACATATGATTCTCATATGACATGTCCTACATATGAAAATCATATGTATATTTTGCAGTTTTCATATGAGAATCATATGAAACAGTGATCATATGAGAATCATATGAAACCAAATTCACTAATTTGCCCGTGTTATACTCAGGTAAATATCATATAAATATTTTGACAGTGATCATATGAGAATCATATGAAACAGTGATCATATGAGAATCATATGAAACAGAGTTCACTAATTTGCCCTTAGTATATGCAATCAAAATTGCAATTTCAATAATATATATCAATAGTAATTTAAATGTACATATATTCAATAGAATGTGATAGCAATTACTTATGTAAAGTTCTACTCTGTTTAATGCCCCCCCCCCCCCCCAACCTTTCCCGTATAAAAAATAAAACTTTCAAGATTTTTTTTTCTGTAATAATGCATTTCCCATACAAAATTGACAAGATAATAAATTAGTTTGCCTTTTATTTCAAATCTTTTGGGTTTGGATTATTACTTGAGTAAAATCAAATAATTCCGTATTCTTTTTTCGGAACGGTTTTGACTTTTATCGGATGAAAGTGTACGTCATGTTTGACGTCACTGCTGCAGCAGAAGTGCTGGATACTGGGTGTCGGAAAAAGTAAGTTATCTCCTAACATTTTTATAAAGACATTTAGGCTAATTCATATTGTTTAAATATCCTTTCATTACGGTTACAGGTTCGTATGAACTTATTTCTATAATACTCTCATCACTTGTAACGGTTAAATTAATGCATATCGCAACCTACATAATGTTAGTGATCTGTAAGTAATTTTGGATGAATTTGTTTCTGAATGGATGTAAACAATATAATTTACATGATAGGCTAAAGGCATTACTTTGTTTTCTTTTTGTTTTGACTTTTGTTACGTATTGATTTGAAAGTGAAAGTAGAAACCCTGTATAGCAGTTGGCGTTGTTGTATGTTGAGATCGTTATCAAGTCGATTCTTTCATCAACTTAATGACAAATGTTTATGGCCTTAGATGCACTCAACAATTTGAGTTCAGTGTCACAGTGCTGCTTTTTTATCAAGTCCGAGAAGCCCAAATCTGATAAGACTGGCGATTGATCCTAACTGCCCAAAGCTGATTCTGACAGACGACTGCATCATCACAATATTAAAGGTAAAAAAATTGCAATAAAAAATCAAAGTGTACATCTGTAATGACTCCTTTATGACAAAATATTTCTTGATAATTTCGTTTTGTTCCTTTATAATTCTACATTGTTTGCACGGCTTCATAAAAAATAAATTCAACTCGATAATATAGATGTTTTATTCTACATTATGAAACAATTTTAATCCAATGTACTTTTTTTAAATATGGTGAGTATGAATTGAATTTTCTTGCTTTAAATATAAGCTACAAAACTATACAATAACTTCAGGGGGTAAATTGAATTTGTGAATTTCAGCAAAAAATTAATAATAGGCCTAACAGTGGCAATTTTCAAGGCTCAAATACATGTGCATGTGACTATGTGTTGAAAGTACATCAGATAGCTAATCCATTGAATATTTACATCTATGTATTCATTGACTGACATTTATAATTTTTTTCCAACACTAAAGAACCTATACTTTCAGGTAAATTGTAAGATATTTAAGACAATTGAGAACCTACAAACTAGTACTCTCTCTTTTTTGTAGTTTAAATTTTAGTTTATAATGCTTAGAAAATATCTACTGTGTGAATATTTGTTTTACAGGTTCAATATACAGTCAGCCTCTCATAAGAAAAAATCCAAAGATCCAAGGCTTGCTTCAAAGTTAAGGTAACTACACACTGTTTAATATACTTTGTTATACTCTTCCCAAAAAAGTCTGGGATATCCTGGAATCACAAAGTCTGTTTTTTCTGCCTATCTACTTGTCTGTAGTTTTTTTTTGTCCAAAAGTAATATATTTGTGTCAGAATCTTCTTAATTTTTGGCAATTTGAATTAATATATATTTGAACATTCCAAATTCAATTGCAAAAATAAAAAAAAAAATAGCTTTTTATGATTTTAATATGAAGCAATATCTTCCAACAGTGTAATTGTCTTTCAAATTACATCATAGGATTCCACAAAACACCTAGTATAACATATATAACATAATTTTTTCTTTATATCTGTGTCAGTGCATTGGGAATACATTTGTTTGCTGATGATAAGTTACTGTAGTATAACTTGTAGAATTGATTTTGTAATTTAAGAATCATTTTATTTTTATTTTTGAAATTTTTGTAGATACCATTCTGTGCCACAAAGAAATTGTTCAGGAAGGGGAGAACTGGTGGATTTGCATTTTTGGTACACTTCAAAGAGATTTTCAAAATGGTCAGGTCAGAGGGAGGACAACTGAAAATATTGAAAAGATACAGAAGGAAAAAGAACCTGGAAATCTATGGAATAATTATGAAATGTGGAGGATGTACACAATCTTGTCTGAATTTGACCTGTAAAGATATCTCATTCTTATTTGTATGCTAGAATATCAAATAACTTGATTTTTCATAAATTTACAATAGAGAATACATGACAAATGTTATTGCAGATATTTCAATTTTGCTGGGGACAATTTCATGTCATATGGTATTTTTATACAAGTACATGACCGAATTATTTTATTCATTTGTACATACATGTTTAACTACTTAATCATTTTGCTGAAATCTTGAAATTTGTACTCATTTTAGAATATGTTAAATACATGTATCGACAAATGCTACTGACTTGTTTGTATATTTTCTTGTTTAGAATGTACACTGTGAAAAATAAGTTATTTCTCTTGATGAAAATACTTTTATCAAAAAAGTTGTGTAAACATTATAAGATATTTTAAAATATTTAACCAATGAAGATATATCATTGTTGTAATATAATGAATTTTCATCTAAAGCAGAAATATCTGATTTTTAAATGTGTACAAGAATGCGAAAAATATTGAAAGAGAACACACTTAACTGTTTCATATGATTTACATATGATGCCCCTTTCATATGATTCTCATATGTAAATGGCTTGAAACACACTTAAGTGTTACATATGATTTACATATGATACCCTTTTCATATGATTCTCATATGTAAATGACTTGAAACACACTTAAATTATTCATATGCAAATCATATGTAGTTATTTTCATATGATTCACATATGTAGATCATATGTAAATCATATGATTTGCTTCATATGATTCACATATGATGCCCTTTTTCTATGATTCTCATATGAAACAAATCATATGAGAATCATATGATACTCATATGAGAATCATATGTGGCTAAGTTGCCTGTGTACCTATTGTCAACCGCTTTAAATATAATCTATCCTTTTGTTTAGGAATAGACTTAACTTCATCTGTTGGAACCATTTTATTTTTTTTAGGAACACAATTAAAAATTTAAAAGCAAAACCAGGGCAGAAGAATAGATTTATAATGTATATTGACAAAATCTATAATATATATTTACAAAAAAGCTGATAAACGAGGTGCAAAGTACTAGTAAATAAACAGTATACTACTACTAGATAATATTATAAATGCAAACAGAGTCTGACATAATATTTTGCTTCAGGTTTCTTTTAATGGTCTGTTGAACAGTTGATGTATAGACAAATATCCTTCAAATGAAGTGCACAAAAAAAGAAGAATCAATGATGAATATATGCCATAATCATGATAATAGGTCTCTGCTGGAATTCATCACGAAGGCTGCAGATAAACGACAGGTGATACATACACCCACAGATGTGATCTACATGCCATGTGTATATTTCATGATTGAATTTCAATTTGTCACCGAACTACAGTAAATGAAACACTGCCCGGTAATCTAATATTAATGAACACATTAAGATGAACATTTAAGCAGCTACAACAAAGCTTCAAATTCTTTTTGTCGATTCCCTAAGAGATGTATTATTAGCAATGAAAATTACAAATGAGTTTCCAACTGCCTCAAAAAAAAAATCTCATCAAAGCTTTAATCTGCATTGACAAACATTGACTTTTTAATATTTTTGTTCGGATTCCTCTGTTATTTTTTTTTTTTTCAATTTCTTTCACACAATACCAGAAAGCATACATCTGTAATTCTTTTAAACAAGAAATCATGACTAATAAAATTCTCCATTCAGTTAGTTCAGCATTTATGGAAATGATGAACACATACAACAAAATTTCCTGTTTGCTACTGTCATGCCCATATCTGATCATTACATCCTGGTTTAATAAAAAAATTTAGATATGAATTTGATTTTTTTTCACTATTTGCTCTTTTTCTTTCCTTATGGTTATCAAGAGAAATTTCCAAGCCCCTTGTTTGTATTTTCTGTAAATCAATCAAGCTATATAATTGAGGTTTTCCATAACATTTTTAACATATATAATTCCGATGTTCATGTTAGCAGTAAATGCAATAAAATGAAATATGTTTATATTGAGTAATTGACAGCAGTTTCGTGCAACACATTTTTATCTAATAAATTGATTTCAAGTTTTCATATTACCATAGTGCTGAATTTTAAATTTTACAATATAATGAACACTGTATCAGAAATGACAATTATCTTTTTATGTTCATAGACCATATAAACAGCAAGATTATTAATGCAGAAAACATTTTCCACTAGTACACCCAACATACTCATGATCATTTCTCTGGACCAGTCTAGGATTATGAAGCTTAATTTATAAAGTAATTAATTCAAATTAGAGAAAGGAGGTGAACATCAATCAAACTTGTAAGACCATTGAATGCCCACAACAATTAATAGACCATCAAATGCCCACAACAATTTATAGTAACATCATCAAATATGTGATTACCAAAGGTATGTGTACACCTTATGATCAGAAATTCAGATCATACAACGAAATACTATTTTAACAAATTATGAAAATAAATCATAAGCCTAGCATGACTTGCATTTCTGGTGCCCTAAATTCTCCAGAATTTCCATTATGTATTATAATTATTAGGCCGGTTGAAAAATACACAAACACGGGTAAGTTAATAACCTCTGTCCATATATAATCGGTGTGTTGGTGGTGGTTATGAACCTTTAATCTCTGCTTATTATGTCATACTTTTTTTTACTACTCCATTGTATCACAATGCAGAAAAGACATCCTTTTTTTGTTGGGTACATATATAATAATGAAGTATACATTTGTATGTGTATTTTATCATAATTAATGGGTTTACTATTTTGCAAAAGCATTGTAGGAAAGGTGTGGGCTGTATACAATACCCATTAATTAGATTTTCACATTTAGTAATTACACCCAGCATAAGAGTAACAAACAGTCTAGCGACCAGGATTATATCCGCAACAGCAATTGTGATGGTGAAAATCGTGAATGTAGTCCATTACTAGATAACAGTCAATAAAAAAAAAACTGTTGTTCATGAGGTCAAGTTAATCTAATGCCTTTGCCAATCTAATTCTCCATCCCTGTAAAATGTGATTCCATGTGGTGTCACTTGGAAAAGAAATTGCTCAAACCCACAATCAATAGTCGCCCCAAAGAAATATTTTTTCTGAAGACTTGTGCAATTTTGTCACTGCATAGAAATGAAATTGGCAGCAAATTTCTTTTCTTTTATCAAAATTCAGAATTTCTGACCTCCAAACCTATAAAACTTTAAAATCTTATGGAATATTATACAGTCTTAGGATGTCATCCTTATATATCAGGGTTAACCAATGCACAACATGACTTACATAACAATACATAATGTTTGGGATTGTCTGCTCTGATAATTAATGATGCCTTTGATTCTACAATAGGTATGCCACAGTTATACATTTAAATCACAGAAGACCAACCCACTAAGGGTTTTGTCCATCTTTATGACACATACAGTTAAATGAAATTGTCATCACCTTGTCGTGTTTACAAATACATCAAATGATTCAACGCCCGATTTACCCCGTTATCTACCCTTTAACAATTGGTTTTAAAAAATGTGTAAAATGTACATCTTTAATTGAAATTATAATGGCTTACATGTTAAAACACATCTTTCATAAAAATTTACCAAACTTTATCAATGCGAAAGAAATAATATGAATATTCACTTGAGCATCGATGCTTTGATTAAGGATATCAACAAAAAAGATGAAATGTGTGAAAGAAAATAAAGAGAAAAATTTATGAACGATGGCTTCTTCTATGAAAGTGCGACAGAGGAATGGAGGGTTGATACTTACGTTCCTAGGGTCCGCTTAAAGTCGTATTTCTTCCGAACATCCGATTCCTTTGAATGTTTCTTATCCGTTTCATGCTTTTTACCAAAAAGTGGCATATTTAATCGTTCTAAAGAATTAAATCACACCGGATAAATCATTGACTCAGTCATTTGGTTCCCTCTATCATGAATGTTTTTCTACTTTCTCACTTCACTCGTGACGTCACAAAAAATGGCGTATATTTGCATAAGTAGGCTACACGCTCCGATTGCGCATCTGTTTATTGTACTACCATGGAAACTGTTTATATCAACTCCGAAATAATCACCACGGCGTTTTAACGAAAAAAGTCATGGTTCTGCGGATATGACAATGGATTGTTTTCGTTTATTTTATACAAATTAAAACACTTGAACGGGAAATTATGAAATAGGTTACTGGTATTTAGTTTTACACACATTTCATATTCAAGTTTTCATATGGAGTACATGTATTTTTATTGAAACATTTTTTTTTTAGTTCTTCACAGAACAATTGTTAATGCTTCTTTTTCTTTTGAGAGGGTTAAACTTAATTAACAAACTTAATGATATATAAGCCTATCTTCAAAATTTAATTAGGGCGCTTTCCATTAACGTTGCCTTCTCGGCGACGTCACCTGGAAACGGTGACGTTAATGGAACGGTTGGTAACGTCACAATTACTAAATATGGAGGAATGCGAATCCAAGCGAAACACTCGCATAATAAAGATATTTCTCCTTCAAGAACTTGAAAGCGATGAGATGAATGTTTGTGACGACGATGTTACGCCAGAGGTTATACGTCATCTCTTGTCAGAAAAAAGAATAAGCCGACAGCGTATTTCTGATTATTTCAACGTAACAATACCAGGATACTCCCCAGATGAATTTTCCTCGCATTTTCGAATGCGAAGAGAGACTTTTGAGGAAGTCTGTAGACAGGTATGCTTTAAATTATTAATAAATCGCTCAAGAAAATACACCATTTCATATATAAAATGCTTCCAATGCAAAGTCTATCGATCTGCCCAAGGGCTGCGTTCAATAGCTGAGTTTGATAACTGTTTTAAAATTCTTTGTTTGATATATTTTAAAATTTTTAGTAATGTTCACAAATTCTTCTAGGCAAAAAAAAAAAAAAAAGGATTTATTGTAAAAAGTCTATGAAATGCTTTATTTACTATTATTTAAGTGTCCATTCTAGAACTTAATTGCGATCGCTTATATGCGAGAA